TAACACAGTAAACTCCATGAAACATAGAGAAGCTTCATGAGAGTGGGGACCCTTGACAGCCTCCCTACACCCCCCATCAGTACCCCCAGTGTCCAGCTTGGTGCCTGGCACATGCTAGAGACTTCATAAATATTTGGCAAGAGGGAGAGTGGAGAGAGGAAAGGGAGAAAGAAGAGGGAAAAGGAGAAACAAAATAAAAAGGACTGAGCTTGTTATCCCAAGAAATAATGGTGTCCTCCATCTAAATCTAGGCCCTTTGATGACAAGCCTCCCTACCTACAATGAGTTTTTAGTGTGGGTACCTGGAGGGCAAGTTGTTCATTCTTTGAACCGGAATCCCATTTTTTAGTAGATGGGATTTAGAGATTTGCTCTCAGTAAAGTTCTGAAGGAGACCATGAAAGTAACAAAATCTCCCTGTTTTGGTTATCAGTGGAAGTGTAATGCATGCCCATGGACCCTTTTAAACTAATCCTCCAAGTAAATTGCTGTCTGGTCACGATGGGCTATGGAAATGTGGAATCCCTGCCTAGATGAATCAGCAAGTAATTGCAAAACTGTTATTTAAATTTAAGCCTTTTCTTCTTCCCAATTTTGGTCACTGAGAATGTGATTTCATATCCAAAAATGAAATCAAGGAACAGCAAATTATCTGAATAATTATGCCAGAATTACCCAAACACTTTTGTTCCTTTGAATACTGGTAATTCAGGACTAGGCAATTGAGGGATTCAGGGAGGCTTATCCTGATATTATTCAAATAAATGCCTCAAGTATACACTCGGCTCTAATCATGCTGGGTTTTGTCCTGCAGAAAGTGTTCCTTTTTAGTGTTCTTGACCACAACACCCCTTATATTAAAGCAAAAATACTCTGTTAATGTCTAAATGATGATATCATCCTTAAACTACAACCTAAGCGTTCTTTTTAACTTTTATTGGTTTTTCATTTACTTTTTTGTCGAAGTGCTGTAGGTATCTATAACAGTCATGTTAGCGTTCTAACAAAAATTGGCTCTCCACTGCCCAACCTACCCTGTTCTGTATTCCCACTCCCCTGAATCAACCACTTGGCTTTCTTTCAGATGTATTCTCTAGTATTCTGTATTGCCAGATCACATGCTCATACAGATATTCAACTTTAGATATTCTCTCTGTTACCTATTGGCATTCCACTATAGAAGGTAAAATGATAGCTAACACTTATAAAGCATTTACAGTGTACCAAAGAATATTCTAGGCGCCATATGCATATTAACTGTTTTAACCTTCACAGTAACACAATAGGGTAGATACTATTATTATCAGATTTTGCAGATTGGAAGTCAAGGCACAGAGAGATTATGTATCTTGCCCAAGTTTGTACAGCAATGATAAAAATAAATTAGGGAGCCAGGATTCCAAAAATCTATATTCTCCACAAAGAACCAAACTTGTCTAGCTCTATTGTAGCATTCAGCACTGCCCCCTACCCCCAAACACACACACACACACCTGCTTCCTCTTCCCACCATTATTAATACAGTTTTATCTCTCTTGGGTTAAATTAGTATTTGGTGTTTATTATTACTATGGCTGTCTAAATATTAATCACACTAGGTCCATGCATTTCCTTTCTAATTATAACTTTACATTTTGGGGGGAGAAAGTAATTTTTGCTTCTCGAATTTACAATTCATTTCTAAACACTTCACAGGAGACAGAATCCTTCCTTCAGCACATTCAGACAAATCAGGTGTCTCTCAGTTTGTTCAAGGAGCAACCTCTTTCCTCCTGCCCCAGTCTGGACTGCTGCTATCTGGCAGGGCTATACAGCTGTCTTCCTGGTGTTTCTCCCATACATTATTCTGGGAATTGCTTCTGCTTCTCTCCTGTGTAGAGCCCTATTTCCTGAATCTGTCTTTTCCCATTTAGGGTTTATGCTCTTGTTTTGGTAAACACATCTTCCCATCTTTAGGTGAATGGGTGCTAAATTTGTTGAGACCTTGTCTGTCTGAAAGGATCTTCATTTTGCCCTCATCCTGAATTAGGTGTGTTTGGCTAGGTATAGAATTCTATGTAGGAAACAATTTTCCCTCAGAATCTTGAACACATTGTTTCATTTTCTTCTTGCTTCTAATGTGTCTTTTGCAAAGCTCCATTCCTCTCTAATTGCAAATCCCTTGGAAGCTATTATGATTTTCTCTTTATCCCCAGTATTTTGATTTCCTGATGCTTTGTCATGATGCTATTTTCATTCCTGACATGTGGGCACTCAGCAGGCTTTTTCAGTCTGGAAAGCTATGTGCTACAGTTCTGGGAAATGTTTTTGTACAATTTCTTTGAAAGTTTTCTCCATTCCAATTTCTCTGATCACTCTTTCTGGAAATCATGTTATTGTAATGTTGGACACACTGAATCAATCCTCAGATTTGCTAACTATTTTTCTATATTTATCCATACTTTTGCTTTTTCTAGTTCTTTTAGGAAAGAACTGACCTGTACCTTCCAACCTTTCTAATTTTTTATTTTTGCTATAATAGTGTTAATTTCTAAAATACTTCGTTGGTTTTCTCTGTTTCCTCTTTGTAGCATTATACATGCAGGACTTACTTAAATTTTACAGTCAAGTACAAATGTATATTTTTTTCTTTTCTTCCTTTTTGCAGTAAAAATGGTGTGTGATACAGTTTTGCTTCTTGCTCTTCTTCATCTAACACAATGAAGGTCTTTATGTATTAGTATATAGTTTCTTTATTCTTTTACATAGCTACATATTATTTCACTGTATGAATGTCTTATTTTTAACCTTTCATTTTATTGAGATTCTCGCCTTCTTTTGACTTATAACAGCTCTTTATATATTACATACTAGGAAGACTAACCCTTTATAATATGAATTGCAGACATTTCCCCAGTTTTTCTTTTCTTGTTAAAGATGTTCAAAGTTCTCATTGTCTCCCTATGTTATCTCTATTCACTTTGACTTCCATTTCTCTGTTTATTTTGGTCCTGTCTTTCATAGTAGCACTTTCCTCAAATATCTGATGATCTCCAACTCATTTATATTCACTAAAGCTGAATGGAAGCTCCGACTTTATGGGTGAGGCTTATGGACTGGTAGATGCTGTTTCACACGAACTGGTGAGGACGGGGCTCTTTTGTTGGGGAAGTCCCTGTCAGTATTTGTAGGTCTTTTCTCTTGGCCAGTTCATTTCTCAAGTTAAGGAAACTCCAGTTTTCTGCTAGGGCCCATAACCTGAGTGCCAAGCATTCATGAGTCAGACTAAAGGGAGGTGGGTTGAGAATCATATTCTCACTTTCTCACTTCGGGAGACTTTCATTTAATCTTCTGGTTTCCACCCCCTTTAGCTGAATTCAGAGTCTCTCTGGCTCATGCCTTGTAAATTGTAACCTCCAGTCTTCTTTCAGTGGGAAAGAGATATATACCTAGCTACATTTGGTCAGGGAGGTAATCTGGGATATGAATTGCTACTTCCAAAAATTTTTCAAATAATCTTCCCATTTTCAGCACCCACTCAGCACCCACTGTCACCTTCAGAAATACATGATGCTTTTGGTTTCTGTATCTTGCAGCACAAATCAGTTTGTTGCGTTCCCTGCCCATAGGCTTAGATTTCTGCATCTTCAACTCTGCTAAATCAACTCCACATGCCCGTTCACCTTCTTGTTTCTGAAATAGTGTTGGTATTTTGTCTATTATCATCCCCTCTCACTTCCCTTATTCATTTAGGTTTATGCCTTTCTTATTTCTTTACTTTCCTTTTAGTGTTGTTTTGTAAGAATAGGGTGATGAATGTATGTATTTAATCCACCATGTTTAATTGAAAGTCCCTAGAACATCTTTTAGCCAACCAGGTTTTTCTTGCCCCTTCTTCCCTTTCTTGCCCGTAGACACTCTCTAAAGTTCTATTCAGGGGCACCTGGCTGGCTCAGTTGCTAAAGCTTGCAACTCTTGATCTCAGGGTCATAAGCTCGAGCCCCACATTGGGTGTAGAGATTACTTAAAATAAAATCTTAAAAAAATTAATAAGGTTCTGTTCAGAGGAATAAATAAAGTAAGAATAAAGTAAGAATTAGAACATTCAGGCTGGGATGAGGATCAAATATTTACTGGAACACTGAGAATAGACTACATGGTCTTTGTAAGCAAGCACGATTTGAGGCCATAAAATCCCACTTGAGGCTCTCCATCCAAATATGTCCTCATGTTAGCAAGTAGCATTAACGGAAACACTTTGTTTTTGTCTGATGTAGCAACAAGAAGGAATTTATTAATATGTAGGCTGGCCCACCTTCAGGAGATGACTCCTCTCTGGAACATTTTTGTACCCAGAATGTGAGTAATATCTCATGAAAACGAATGCATCTACCCAGAAGGGAATTCACTTACACAGCACAACTGTTCCAAGGCTTAAGCTGGTATTTCTTTACATAGGCTTACTAGGTATCAGATCCTGGGGGCAACAAACAGCATTACTTTTTCCTGTTTTTTTCTTTTTCCCCTAGACTTACCTACTTATGATCTTCCAACAGTAATCACCCAAAAAAAGTGTCTTCTTTGAACGATTAAGACTTGAGCTTATTGGACATTAAAGATGTCACCAACGAATCCATGTCAATAAAATATAAACATCTCTTGTTTCCACTCGACCAGCATTACTATACTTACTATCTTATTTGACGCGACTTTAACTTGAATTTGATGAAATTCGCTTGACTAGAATCTTGCCTGGATTCCAATCAGCATGATTGAGAAATGACTTCCAGAGCTGAATTAAAAAGTGTTGGCTAAGTGTGTGTTATTACATGACTATAGCTTTTATTGTTTAAAGAGTGGTTTGTATGAAAAGAAAATAATTTGCCTACTGGAATGAAGTGTTCCTCAGTGTGGTTTGTATGAGGATAGTTTCCATGTTTGGTGAGCTGTTTAGTGCTGTTGTCTTGTAACTTGACCATAGTTTTATCTAATTCTGGTCTTTATGGTTTTTCTTCTGCTTAGGCATAATGACATCAATAGAAAGATGAAGAAATCCTACAGCATAAAGCACAATGCTGAGCCAGAGTCAAAAGAACTCTTCTTGTAAATCACTTTTTTCTTATCTCTCATTGCCCCCCTTTGGACACCATTGGAAATTTCTGGACTATCCACTGTGGAAATAGAATCATGAGAACCAATGCCTCACCAGCAGAAGAACAATATCAGGATGCCTTAAATTTATAGTAGTAGACTATATAATACACATTTTTGGGTGATATTTGTATATAGAACTTGTTTCTAAAGAGATGACGTTTAAAAGCATGATTGGGCCAATGTATGTTTTTTAAGATTGAATTGGTTCAGCTTACCCACACAATGTCCACCTAAAGCCACTGGCACCATCTTGTCTTTCGTCAGTTGCATGAGTGTTTGCTAATGTTGATTGAACTTTCCTTTCCCAGTAAAATGGGCAGTTTGGGCTCAGCTCCTCAATGAGACCAGGTCAGTGGTATTGTTTTCTGTCAAGAGTGTTTTTTCTGTCATTTCTACTTTTTGTATAAAGGAAATAAAACAATGTTAACAGCACCTAGAAGCTTGGGGCACCTACTTTCTAATAAGCCTGTGATGTTCTGCTTTCTAAGAGACCTTGAGACTATTTTGATTGCTGATATTTTATTTCAGGAACAAACTGCCCGGTTTAGCTATTTTCCCATAGGGGTGAAATAAAACATTCTAGTTTTCATTAAGCACTAAAGGATCAGACAAGTATATAAAGTAAGTCAATTCCTTCTGTCTTCTCAAATCCCAGCATTGACATGAGAAAATACTAATGACATCTAAGGATTCAGCCCCTGTTTGGGTCACTTTTTCTGTCAAGAACACATTATGAGACCTGTCTAATCCCTTTAGGAGACAGTGTGGAGCCTGAGTTTATAACAACCCTATTGTTGATATAGCTCTTTCAGTCCATGTAAGCAGTAAGTTCCAGATGGTTTCGTCCTATCATGTAAAAAAATATTTCTGTTGAAACTTCAAGAGTTTTATTTTCAAAGTGTTGGCACGGCCCATAAGAGGCCTGTCAAATCTTAGTTTGGAAATTGAATGTGTTCTTACCAGTAGGAGGGAGCCCTATATGTTACTCACAGTTATGAGCAGTGTTACTGCCATCAAATGTGGACCATTCCATATCCTGGTGGACACAAGAGGCCAAGGTACTGAGTTAGGAGGAAATCTTGCATATATGGGTGACAAACTTGGCCTGACAAATTTGAGCTTGACAAGATGCAGTGAGGTATAGAAGAAGGACCTAATATTCAAGTACCTTTTAGGTACCAGCCACACTTATGTAGAGATATTACTACTACCATTTTATAGCTTAGCAAATTAAACTTCAGAAAGCTTTAAATCCTATGTCCAAAGTAATACTACTTGTAAATAGCAGACTTGGCTCGGGCCCAGGTTTGCTCATTATTCCCACTGGACTAGCCTATCGGTCCTGCACAATGCCATATCTTTAGTGCATTACCCACTGGACTAGTATACAGGGATCATGAGTTGTGTTGGCTCTACTTCTGGGTGACTCTTGGGTCTTGGGTAAGGAACATTGCCTCCTCGAGAAATCTGGAAAAGGGCGAGACTGGCCTGCATGCACAGTTCAGAGGTAAGTTCCTTTCGACCTACAGAGCAACATGTCTAGGAATTCAACCAATTTGTTCTGTCCATGTTTGGGTCCTCTGAGTTCCTGTCATTAGAGCCCAGTGCCCTGCGTGGTTCTGCGTTGCTCACATTGTCTTCTCGAATGAGATGCCCTATTCTGAATTTGGCCCCTTGGCCTCAAGGACCCTCTCTGCTTCTTCACATTTCATTGCTGGGTCCTACTGTTACAATTCTAATAGAGAATATATGGCCAGCATCTGTGAAGATTCTCGTGCTTTCTGCTTGGTACAGAAGAGGTGACACTCACGCCACACGTGAGCCAAGCTTTTGGACTTAGTTATAGAATGAGGCTTGCAAGGGAAAGGGACCCACAGAGTGCTCTCTCTGTTCCCCAGCAGCCCCAGCTTTGTTCTTAGACTGGGTTTTTAAACTTAAAAGTTGAAGGGGTGGGGTGGCGTTCTGCAGAGATTTTACAAGCCAAACACAGAGTTCCCAATTAAACGTAGCAGAGAAAACCAAGAGTTTGAAAGAAAAGGATGCTACCTTGACATAGAAAACTGGCAATTCGATTGTTTATTGACACAAGCATTTGTGTACTAAGAGTACTAAGAGTACTAGGCCCTGCAGAGCAAATAATTAAAAAAAAAAAAAAGGCAAAACAGGAAAATTCAAGTACATTCAGATGAGCCAAATTGCCGAGACAATGCATTCTGTGTTTATTGATGTTGTTAGGACACTAAAAATGCTGATCCTTAAATCACGCATGTACACCATCTTTACCATCCAAGTTCTTTATGAAATGGATAAATTATGCTTGCTTGAAATAAATAGAAATGATGTGTTCCTTACCACAAGCTCAGTTGTGTGCAGAATTTATAAAATGAAAACACAGACTCTTATTTCTTCACAGAAATGAAGACACACATGTTAAAGAAAGAGAGAGTGTGTTTCCTTCAAGTAAGCGGAACTTTGGGGCCCCTGCCCCACTCCATCCCACTGGGCTAGTAAAATGAGTGAAGCTCTATCTGCCTGCCTAATTACATGCAGCAGAGCTGGAAACTCAGCCCCACTGTAAAAAAAAACTCTCTCAGCATCTGTCAACGTCTTTTAAAGACTGGCTGCTTTTATGTCACTAAAGGGACTCATTTTGCCAAAGTTCAACACATCAAATTAAGAACATTTCTTAGAAAAGATAACAAAATACCAAACCTTCACCACTTTGAATGGATTGAATGCCCATTCGTTATTCTTATAAAACATTAGTACCAAGACCTCAACTCTAAGAAGAAACTTCTAGATGTGCATCATGGGGTTAGGAGTGGGTATGAAGACTCTCAAAGGGTATCTATCTTCATGTAAATTTTGAAAATTTTTTTCTCAAAGCAAATATTTGCAGGCTGGATGGTACAGGCTAGAGGAAATAACTATAAAATATTTAAATAATTCCCTGAAGGACTCCTTGATACGAAATGCGTTAAATGTTCTCTCTTCAGGAGCCACCTATGTGTGTAATCTGAGTTAACTGATACAGCCAAGTAAGAATAAGGGATCCATGGCAATGGAGGTGATACCATGTCCCCATGTGAAAATGGAGTTTGTGCTGTCTATTGCCCTGAAACTAATTTGTTGATGGGTCTCTCTCTATAAGTCCCATGTTATCTCTGATTTTATTTCCCTTTATTCTTCATTGCATAGTTCAATGTAACTTTTTGAGCGCCTGATTCCTGTCTCCTAACAAAACCCTATGTTCATTGATCTCCACAAGAATCTTTGTCGCCTCTCATAGATGGTGGTTAGTAAATACCTATCGTCAATTTTTGTCAATATTTTTCAACTTCTGCTACCCTTATATCCATCTTAGTTTCTTCTCATTTCTTCCCCATTCTTCTACCCCTTCCTCTTCCTCTTCTCTTTTTCTCTCTCTCCTTCCCTCCCTTACTCTCTTTCCTCTGCTGACACCTCCACTCTCCATTTTTCCCCTTTGTCTGCCCTAGGTTCCCAAGATCTGGAAACCCTTTTTATGGGGTTTCCTTGGAAGAAGCCTGGCAAAGGAATTGCAGTAAGTAGAAATGTACTGGACCCATACTTACAATGAAAAATCCTCTCTCCCTTCTTGCCACAGTGTGTAAACAGAACGGCATCTTTCTATATGCTGATGTGGTCATCAGACTCTGATTGAGCCCATGCCAAGGATGGGGCCCCGGGCTAGGCACTCTCTTGGAATAAAAACCACTCAGAAGTTGGTATTAACCACGGTGGGGGCATACAAGGATACATAAGTTAACAAATTGTGTATTTGGAGGGACACATGGGTAAAAGTATTGTAATTGGTTCATAGCTTACAGTTCTCAAACTTTGCTATACATTAGAATCACCTGGGGGAGCTTTTAAAAATCTGATGTCCAGGGGCACCTGGGTGGCTCAGGTGGTTAAGCATCCAACTCTTGATTTCGGCTCAGGTCATGATCTCCAGGTCATGGGATCAAGCCCCGTGTTGGGCTCTGCACTCAGTGCAAAGTCTGCTTGGGATTTTCCTTCTCCCTCTGCCCTTCCCTCCCTGCTAAAAAAAAATAAAAAATAAAAAATCTATGTCCATGCCAACCCTATAATAAATGTAACTCTCTGGGTAGAACCCAGACATCAGTATTTGTAAAAACTCCCCTCACAATTCCAAAAAGGCAACCAAGCTTTAACACTAACACCTCACTACTCAAAGTGTGGCCAGAAAACATTAGCATTGACATCAGCTGGGAGCATATCAGAAATGCAGAATCATCTGACACTGACCATGGCCTCTACTTCTAATTTTGTGAGGCTGTGAACTGTCTATTGAGACAAAAAAAGACCCTTCCTCAAGGAGAGGGGAAGAATGATGATGAGCCCCTAAACCTAGAGTCAGATTTGAAGAGGGTATTAGGTGTTTTCTGGAAATACCACATTATATTCTTCTGTTTAGTGTGTCCATAAGTTTAATGTGTATATATGGAAATCCTATTCCATACTATAATCTCATATGCAGAAATTCAAAATCATATAATTATAGAAAGTGAGGTTTTTTTTCTGGATGGGAGAGGTAAAAGAGAGCACCATAATGTTTCAAGAAAGGATGAGGCCATTGCACTTTTTAAATCATGCTGAGGGTAGCTTTTCCATTGTTATTTCTCAAAGTTCTCTAAAATCTGGATGTATGAAACCAAATCACCAAGAAGCTACCCATCTGGCAAGGGCATAAGGAAGACAAAATACAGTCAAGCAATGACTAAAACCATTCCCAGAACCACTCCTCAACCACCACTGTGGGGGCTTCCCATATATGCCAGCAAGACACACGACTTCATGATTTTATGACTTCAAGACACAGTGCAGTGCTATACTGTATGCCAAAGACATTCCTTTGTTTACACAACACACACACAGACACACATGAACACACAGTGAATGTCTGCCTTGTGCACAGCTCTGTCCCAAGCGGCAGAAAGGCAAGCATAAATCTAGGGTAATGAATGCATATTGCTTTTGATGAAATGTGGAAAGTCTGAGTTCAACTGGATAAATTTTTTGTGATGTTGTGCCCATAGTCGCATTAATATTTTATAACTATATTTCTTGTCTTTCTATGGAATCCATTTCATGCAGTTGTTCAGCGCATGAGGAACAAGGAAGGAAGGATTTAAATTCTATTATTTGTGGTTGGCCGAGCTAGCTGTCTTCTCAATATCCTTTCTCTCTTTCTTCCCAATTAAGAGAAGCCAGTTAAATGTTCTCAGGTAAAATGACTTTACCAAATGCCCTGGAAATTAGGAACGGTCATGTGACTCAGTTTGGCTAATGAAAAGTCAGTAGAGATCCTATAGCACTTCAGAAAATGTTGGAGAGAAAGAAGCTTGCCTGGCCTTTATCTTTTGTGGCTTCTGCTTTCCCCTCTGGGG